ACATTTAAGTTGTTCCCCATTCCTGCTAGTCTTCTCTCTGTAGCTTGAGCATGTCCGACTTGTTGCCATCTCAGGACTCTCGCACTTGCCATTCCTTCTGCCTTGAATATCCTTTCCCCGGTACTTTACCTGTCTGGCTCCTTCTTGTCATTCAGGGAACAACTTAAATGTCACATCTTCAAAGCCTTCCCTGATCACCCCCACTGTACTGTCATATCATTCAATTTTATTCAGAGATTGTTAACACTATCTGAAATTCTCTCACTCTGTTGTTCTTTACTAGTTTATCATCCGTCTCCCTAACTCCAATGTAAGATGCTCTGTATCCCCAGTACCTAGAACAGCACTGGGCACAGAGAGGGCGAGCAATAAATATTGAGTAAATTATTCCCCACCCCAATGGCCCTGCCTCAGCTGGGACCCATCCTGCTCCAAAGCTCTGCCCATTGTTCCCTCAGGAAGCCCTCATTCCAGTGAACCCCTCTCTGTTTCCATAGCTTTGTGCCAACCTGGACACATGGCGCATCATGTCACCCCAGACCTCCCTTCCCCAGCTGCAGGAGCACAGCCACCGGCCCTGCAAACAGTATGACCTCTGCCACAGGTGCAGCCAGGTGTGTGGAGGGAAGGGCCGGCGTGGGGCCTGGAGTGAAATTAGGGCGCCTGGGGTTGAGCCTTGACTGCACTCTCATGAGCTCCATCACATCAGTTTACTTGCTTATGTATCTGAGCCTCCATTTCTTCTTTCTGTGAAATGGGGCAGATCCTGCTGTTTGGTTTCACTCAGATGCCACCGTGGACATCTGTCAAAACCCTGGGCATGCAGTAGAGTGCTTTGCAAACCATAAAGCTGGGGCACTTTGTGCCAGGCTGTTCCTCTCTCCTGCAGTGTGGACACTGCCTGGTGTCTGCTATGACAGGCCGGACATGGACTAGACATCACTGTGTTCAGGGCAGAGATCAAGGGCCCATATGGGGTGGAGACAGAACAGGAGTCAGGTGCAGGACCCTGACCTCTGCCTCCAGCCAGGACTCTGCCTCACCATAGCTTTATAGGCATTCCCTCAGGCCCTCGCTCTTGTCTAGGACCCGTTCGGGGACATGCTGAAGAGGCTCATGGAACAAATTCATGACCGCCTGGAGATGCCTGAGCTGAGCCACGACTTCGGGACGCAGACGTACGAGCAGCAGGTGGTAGAGCTGAGCAAGACCGGTGAGAGGGGCGACCTGGCCCACCGGGGCCGAGCCTTTAGGGGGCGGAGCTCAGCCTTTGGGGGCGGAGTCCAGGCAGGAAAGGCCCCTGGGGGCGTGGCCGCTCAGACACCGCGCTCCCCGTGGGTCCACAGCGGCTGAGGCCGGGCTCCAGCAGCAGAGGGTGTACGCGCTTCATCTGAGACGCTACAACGACGCGCTGCTCATCCACGACACGGTCCGCGCTGTGGACGCCCTGGCCGCGCTGCAGGATTTCTACGAGAGAGAGGGTGCCACCAAGACCCAGGTTCTGCATGCTGAGCGCTGGCTGCTGGCACTGTTCAATGGTGAGGCTCCTGGGGAAGAGGGGGGGCTGGAACTGGGCTAGAGGGCAGAGGCCACCTGGGAAGGTGCGAACAAGAGTTCTGGGGCCCTATTTTTCTAACTAAAAGTCAAGACTGTGGATATGACAAAAGATGTAAGCCCCCATTTGTGAAGGTTTGCGCAGATGTAAAAACTAGTTTAGGTTATTGACAGATATTTTTGGAAAATCATTTAATTGGGACTGTCCCTGAAAGTCTAGAGTGTGTGGTACCTTTAAACTGGGAAAATTAGGTGGTCAGAGCATGGAATTTAAGACTAGAGGCCTCAGCACAGGCTGAGGGGCAAGGATCTTTCTGAACAGACCTGAGGTTGAGTCAGTCCTGGGTTACAGGGGTCAGCATGAAAAGGTCAAGGGTCATCCTGGTAGCAGGGTTGAAGAGGGGTGCTGGATAATGTGTGTGAGCAAAGAATTCTAGACTGTAGGCCCTGGTGTGAGGCTGTTGGATCTTGAGGCTGGGCAGGCAGAGGGTGTCCTTACATGTCTCCTTGGTGCTGCTCAGGGGAAACTAGGCAGGAGCAGGTATCCTCAGGCCCCCTCTGAACTCCTGAAATCTTATCCCTGTGAGCCACCCACCCTCATGTCCCGCCCACCTCCAGGCCTGAGTCCTGTGCCTCTGATTTTGGGCTTTTCTGGCAGACCACAAGAATGAGCTGGCCCTCCTGGCAGCTCGTGGCCCAGGGAACCCAAAACTGGAGAAGTTGGAACAGATCCTACAGAAGCAGTTCAGGAGCCTGGACAGCCACCGGGGCATCATCTTCACTCGCACCCGCCAGAGTGCTCACTCCCTTCTGCTCTGGCTCCAGCAGCAACCCAGTCTGCAGACAGTGGACATCAGGGCCCAGCTGCTGATCGGGGCTGGGAACAGCAGCCAGAGCACCCATATGACTCAGGTGTGGGCACTGGGGAAAGGAGCTGAGGCTGGGGAGTTCCTCAGGGGAGAAGAGAGGGGGAGAGAGTCTTCAGCACAGAGAGATGGGGGGACTGACTATCCCCAGGCAGAGGACAGAGCTGAGGAGATAGATGGGCACTGAGATCCCCAGGGCTGAAGGTTCCCCCAGTCTGAGGGTCTATGAGGGCAGAGAAGTGGAAACATGGGGGTCTGCAGGGAAAGAGGTGAATGATGTCCTCAGGACAGAGGCCTGGGGTCCCTTGTGGAAGAAGAACAGGTCCTGAGAGCTCCTGGAGTACAGGGAATACAGGGCTGGGACCCTTAGGAGTCTCTAGGGGAGAGAGGGATTAGATGTTCATCTGGGAAAATGGGCAAGACCCTGGGGGTACTTGGAGGTAGAGGTGGAGACTCAGGGTCCCTCAGAAAAGGGCTGAATAAAAGGGCTGATCCAGGAGAGACTGGGCTGGCAGGAGGGTAGGCCTGAGGCCACCTCATGTACCATCCTCTTTCTCCTCCCCCAACCCCAGAGGGACCAGCAAAAAGTGATCCGCAAGTTCCGGGATGGTACCCTGAACCTCCTGGTGGCCACGAGTGTGGCAGAAGAGGGACTGGACATCCCCCAGTGCAATGTGGTTGTGCGCTATGGGCTCCTGACCAACGAGATCTCCATGGTCCAGGTGCTCAAACCACCTCCTGCAACAGTCCTCAAAGGATCCTGTGTGGGAACCCAGCCCCACTCAGTCCCCTCTCTTATCTCCCTCCGCAGGCAAGGGGCCGTGCCCGGGCTGATCAGAGCGTGTACTCATTTGTGGCAACCCAGGGCAGTCGGGAGTTGCGGCGGGAGCAGACCAACGAGGCATTAGAGAACCTGATGGAACAGGCAGTGGCTGCTGTGCAGGCGATGGACCAGGCTGAGTACGAGGCCAAGGTCTCTGGTCAGCCTGTGCGCTCTGTGGGGTGGGGGCCTGTGGACATTCTGCCTGGAAGGTCTCTGATGCAAACACATACACACCCCTGTTCCCCTTTGCTCTGGAGGCGAACCTGGTCCACCTGGTGAAGGTCTGAATCCAGGGAACTGTAGAGGCCAGGAAGGGGGTTGCCAGGAAGACAAAGGTTATTTCTCCAAAATGTCCTGGGAATAGGCCTTGTCCAGGGATTTCAACTTATCTTCATCACCAAATACTTTGTGTATCTGTGAGAACTGCTTTACAGTCCTTGTAGAACCAAGCAGAGGGGAAACAAAGACATGCATGAAATAGGCCCAGAGCCAGGACTTAAATCAGTCCCAAGGTAAAGTCACTATTGTCCAGCCTCGCGCAGGATGATCCCTGTTAACTCTTGTTGTCCCAGCATAATTATTGATGGTACCCCATGTTAGAGTCAAAGAAGCAACTTTGCACAAAACCCTCAAAAGTGGGAGTAGAGATTCAGCGAGAAAGCTTGCCTTGTGCCCACTATTGTCCCCCAACCCAGCTACTTCTGAGAGCTCCAGGGAGGGTTGAGGAAAGTCCCTCTGTGTACTAACGACCTGAGGTCTTCGGAAGTCCCAGCCATGCCCTTTGTCCCCTCCCACCCCAGATCCGGGATCTGCAGCATGAAGCCCTGGTCAAGCGGGCGGCCCAGTTGGACCAGAAGGAGAGTCGGCGGCGGCAGTTCCTGGCGGAGCACGTGCAGCTCCTCTGCATCAACTGCATGGTGCCTGTGGGCCACGGCAGCGACCTGCGGAAGGTGGAGGGCACCCATCACGTCAACGTGAATCCCAACTTCTCGTGAGACCTGTGGAAGGGGCTCTCTGGATAAGAGGAAGGGCGGGTGCATTAAGAGTTTGGGAGGTTAAAGAGCGTTTTATCAAGTACCAAGTTTGCATTTTCACTATAGTCTGATTAGACAGGTTTTATCCCACCCCATTTCACAGGTGAGGAAATAGAGGCTCAGAGAGGCTCAGCGACTTGCCCAAGCTCCCACAGCCACTATGTGGTTGAGGAAGAGTTGGCATTCAGGATGCCAAGTGCTGAGGCGCCACAAAATGGCCCCCTGGTCCTACATACTCTGAAGACATCAAGAGGGGCTGGTTGTCTCTGAGCCATCCCCTCATCCTCTGCCCTCTATAGGGTAGCCTTCCCTCCTCCATTCATTTATTCATTAAGTAAATATTCATTAGGCACCTACTGTGTGCCAGGCCACTGAGCCAATGGCCTTCACACATTTTCTCTCATTCGAGGTGGTAGCAACTAGGTCTTGAAGGCTGGGTTGGGTTTGGCCATGAGAAGATGAGAATAGACAGGGATGACATGATGGGAGTAATGCTGGTTGGCTGGACTGGAAGAGATTGTAAAGGATGAGATTCTGAAGGCAGACAGACTAGGGACCTTGAAGTTCAGACTTAAAAGCTGAACCTTTATCCTGTAGGCAGGGAGGAGTCTTGGATGGATTTTGAGCAAGGGAATGTCAGAATGAGATTTACATTTGTAGATCATTCTGGCAGTTGGCTGAAGGATAGCGTGGGGGTGGGAGTAAGGATGGAATAGGGTGGAAGGATGGGGCAGGAGATCCATTGGGAGACTGTTAGATCATCCAGATGGGTAGTGCTGAGGCCTGAACTTGAGCAGAAGGGAGTGGAATGGAGGCCGTACAGGCAGAACTTATTGAAGTCTCTGTGCCCCTTGACAGGCAGGAAGGTCCAGGTCCCAGGCAGAGGCTTAGCAAGTAGGATGGCATGTGATCTGGGGCTGGGGAATCCATGAGGGCTGTTGCCACTCCCACTTCTTTCCAGGATCTACTACAACGTCTCAGAGAAGCCTGTGGTCATGAACAAAGTCTTCAAGGACTGGATGCCTGGGGGTGTCATTAGCTGCAAGAACTGTGGGGAAGTAAGTGTTGGGGACATGCCCCTCAGCTCTAGTCTTTAGAAGTCCTCATTCTGAAGTGGAGACCCAGCCTGTGTCATCAGGGTGCCCTCACAGGGATGGGGGAGACGGCCCTCCCCAAGGAGTCCCCAGTCTGAAGAGAATGATCCAACCCTTATTTTAGGAAGCCCACAATGTGATGAGAGAGCTAGCTCTGTCTGAGGTAGGAGACATAAGCCCCACATTCAGAAACCCTAACTTGAGGAGAGAAGCCCAGTCTGACGGTAGATACCCAGACTCCACTGTTTCTGTCCCACCCTCAGCTCTGGGGTTGGCAGATGATCTACAAGTCAGTGAAGCTGCCAGCACTCAAAGTCCGCTCCATGCTGCTGCAGACACCGCGAGGACGGACCCAGGCCAAGAAGTGGTCCTGCGTACCCTTCCCAGTGCCTGACTTCATCTATTTGCAGCACTGTGCCCAGAGCCTGTCAGACCTCTCCCTGAACTGACCGTCTTGTCGCTGCAGTGCCCAGCTCAGGCTGTAGGGGGCGGGAGAATCTGCAGCAGCCACCGTCTTCCCCTGAGCAAAGTCTGGATGCGCGTCCCTTCTGCCAGAGTCACCAGTTCAGGGCCCTGTGCTGACCAGCCACAGAGGAGCCCCAGGTGCCCAGGCTGGCTTCAAGTCTCACACTGGAAGGAGCTGAAGGGCCACAGCTCATCCCCCGACCCCCCTCACACCCACTTTCATACATACTGGATGCAGTGGGAGTGGAGCTGGAGTGGGGGAGGACTGAGGTAGGAGAATGGCCACACGGTACATTAGTGCCCGCTTGTTCATGCTTTCACTTTTACAGTTTGTTACTAGCAATGAACTACGCTCCAAAAATATTAAATGGAAAGTTCCAGAAATAAACAATTTATAAGTTTTAAATTGCGCACCATTCTGAGTAGTGTGATGAAATCTCGAGCCATCCCGCTTGGCTCCACCTGGGGCATGAACCATCCCTTTGTCCACCGTGTCCATACTGTATATGCTGTCTGCCTGGTAGTGACTTAGCCACCTGGGTTATCAGATCCTCTGTCAAGGTTTCACAGTGCTTGCGTTTGAACAACCTTTATAGTAGCCTAACACTGCGTCACAATGCCTACATCGTTCACCTCATTTGATCTCATCACATAGGCGCTGAATCATCTCACATCACAAGAAGGTGAGTACTGTACAAAAAGATATTTTGAGAGAGACCACATTTGTATAACATTACAGTATATATTATAATTGCTCTATTTTATCATTAGTTGTTAATCTCTTACTGTGCCTAATTTATAAATTAAAATTTATCATAGGTATGTATGTATAGGAAAAAACAGTAGTGTTTGGTACTGTCTGTGGTTTCAGGCACCCACTGGGGGTCTTGGAACATATCCCCTGCAGATAAGGGGACTACTGTACTAGGAATCACCACAGTTTCCCTTGGCCCTTTGACATCCACTCCTTCCCTGCAAGGCCACTATTTTTTGAGGCTCCCCACAAATTAAAAAATAAAGAAGTAGAAAAATGACATAGAAAATGTGTGATATTTTAAAAACAGGTTTGTTGAGGCATAATTGACTAAACAAACTGTACATATTTACAGTGTTTAATCTGATAAACATTAACATATATTTGCTTCTCCACAATCAAGATAGTGAACATAGCTGTCACCCTGAAAACTTTCCTTGTGCCCATTATAACACCTCCCTCCTCCCCTCTCCATCCACCGATTGGCTTTGTGGTCTATTCTGAAGATTAAAAGTGTTTTGTTTCTCTAACACCCCTATTTTGGCTACCATGTAACCTTATTTGGAGGGAGCATCAGAAGTCTACATTTGAGCGCCATCGAGAATGTGAGGCCTTCCTGCCCCCTCCCCCTCATAAGAGGGTCCAACCCCAATGCCCCATTTTTCCTAACCCTCAGGTCATCTCCCCTGGGCTTGGAAGAGGCCCAGAGGATTTGAGGGGTAGGCATGGGGGTGGGGGAAGTTATAAAGGCCTAAATTTCCTGTTCTCATTTTAACAAGAAAGAAAGAAAGAAAGAAAAGGAAAGGCAAGATCTAGGTTGATTCTTCAGGGAAAGGGCTATTTCTGTAGTAAGAGGCCCAGCAGGCAGGAGTCACCTTCAGGAGGAAGGGAGGGGGCTAGGGCAGAGATTTGAGAACAGGATGGCAGTCCTTCCTGCCATCTAACCTCCTCTCCTACTACATCCTTGGTCCTGCCTCAGGATAGGTGAGAAAAAATGCATTCTCCCTTCCCCAGTATCTTCTTTCTTCAGCCCACCTATTCTCGGATTGAGAGCTAAAGGTCCGGCTCTGGGCTTTTTGGCTTCCATCCCCCTAAGAGAGTGCACCCTTCTTTCCCAGGGCCTCTCTTCCTCCTAATCTCCAGTGTCCCTTGGCCCTGGCTCCCAGTCACCCTTCTCCCTCCTGTCCATCTGCTCCCATTTCACCTTCAGTTGTCGCCCCTGCCAGCGACGTGCCTTTTACAGGTCAATAAAATTAGCGACAGGGGCCAGAGGGAGGGAGCAGGGGCCCAGGGGTGCTAAGCTCAAGGGCCTTGAATGCGGCTGGACGCACGGAGTCCGGACGCCTGTCATTCCAGGGCTAAACAGTGACAGCTGAGAGACCTGAGCTGGCATTGCAGCCAGAGGGGGACTGTGTTGCGGGGAGAGAGATGAGCTGAGGATAAAGATGACCAGGGTACCTAATGGTCCCCATCAGTGGCCTGAGCCCCTGGATGGGGGGTGGGTGGGACCCTGGTTTAGAGGGAGCGTCCTGGATGTATCTCACCCACTTTACCCGGCTGGGAGAGCTTTCACGAGCTCAGATGGAAGGGGAAACTCAGGCAAGGAGGGGTTCCCCTGCTTTTTTCCCCTTGTGAAGGGCCTTCGTGTGGAGCCACTGCCTCCGGGGCAAGGCTGCCCGAAGGGGGCATTTCACGAGGTGCTCAGGACCCGGGCATCCTGACTCCTCAGCTCTCAGGAAAGCCAGAGCTCCAGGCCTGCCTAGTGCCCCCCCTTCCTCCCCACCTGAATAAGCGGGTCCGCCCA